TCCGGCTGTGTATTGGCTATGGACTATGTGTGGTCTAGAATGTACTCATTAGTATTAGAATTAACAATGTAAATTGGAACAGACTCACCTGGTTCCTTGTAACATAGTCTGTTGTTGTGATTGGCTTGCGTATGAACCATAGATTTACCAACCGTTTTTAGCAGACCTTGGTAGACTGTCAGAAGTCAGCTCCTCGTTAGCACATAACTTCGGCAGACTGTAGACGTTCCATACCTGGACTAGCAGTATTTTGTTTAGGCGATTTCATTCTTGTCGCTTTTGAGTACAGTGTCCCAATCCTGCACTGAAAAACTATCCCTCTCCTCCCTCCTCTCCGTGTCTTTTAATTCTGCAGCAGCAATAGAACTGATATTTGTTCTCAAGATTTTGACATTTATTGCTTATGTATCAAAATGAGAGGGCTTTGAACTTGTGCTCAAATCTTCTCACCTCGATTCTCTAGCTAACAAGTTATCAAGCATTTCATTGGAACCATCTTAAGTGGTCAGCAAGGAAAATTGTCCATGAAACATCCTTAGCTTTTCTAGATCCAAGATAAATGATCGAAAATCGGTGATGAGGTATTCATAATTTATAATTGAAGACTTATCATCTCGAATCAGCAAAATATAACAATCAAGATTAGGAATTTTATGACCAGTAATACTCAAAATAGAAACGTTACTGTGTTTAATTATAGCACAGAAATTTATTGACTTCAACATCCCTACTGAGTCGGTGGATTTTATACTGTCAGTGTCAACAATATAATCGCGAAAAACACCACTGGATGGATATAATCGTTTTTGAATATTAAGCAAATAACTCAAAGTTATAAATAAGGATAGTATATGTTCACCAAAATCACCTAAGTTAGTAGGATTGGAATAACAAAGTTTAGTATTACTTGCGGAGAAACGAACAGTAGTTTTACGAACCGAATTGATGTGTCCGATTTCACCACACCTAAAGCATATAGCATGACAAAAGACACTTTAATTACGTAGGTGGAATTTACCATAGGTTAAATGTTTACAATACTCATGTTCAACTCTGTGACCGGCTTCCAAATCCCTAATAAATGCTTATCCAGATTATCGTTAATTCAACGCTCACGCATATGAACTTGAGTACGCACTGAAATGGGATCACTAAGTAATGTAGTGGAATTCTCTATGTCCTGGAAGTCAGTTTCATGCACTGTCTCATTATTAATACACGCAGTTATAGCACCTTGAAAGGAACACTTTGGCAGTTGCATGAGCTCTCTTTGCAGATTTGGTATGTTAATCCCTGCAATCAATCGATCAAGCAGCTGGACATGAACTTGATTACCGAAATCACACTTACAGGCTTGTTTCTGCAATTCAAAGATAAATTATCTAGCCTTTTGATTATTTTGACTAATCATTTGATAGGATTTCGGTCTTTCATAGCATCCAAAACTAGTACACTTTGCATTATTTAGTGGTAGCTCCTTGAGAGCTGTGAAATGTACTGAAACAGGCTCATTTTGTAATGTCAAAGTTCTTAGTAAGCTGTAGACATCCTTTCCGAGGAATGTGAGGAAAGGAGCCACAGTTTCACCTTCCTTAACATCTTCCTTGGTCATACTCCAGATTTCAAATCTTTCCATGTATTCTTCGAAAGCGTCAAAATTCGAATTATTGTATTAACCAGAAATTCCCGAAACAGTGCAATTTAAGCTAAGTAGAACTAGGTGAGCATAAACGAACGTATTATATTTGGAATTCATAGTAAGCACGCAACTAAGTACAAAGAAATCATCAGTTAGTATAAATGCCACACCACTTCAGTTTTATCCGTTTAAAGCTAACACTAATTGGTCTTTCCTATATACCATGTTTCGCAGGAAAATTTGAATGTTCACGATGCTCATTAGTTTTGTTGTTTGCCGGTGATCTGAAAAGGATGTTAAAGCTTAAGCATTGCACCGAAAATAAACATACCACTTTGAAAATTACTGTGGACTAGCGTAAATCTCAAATGTTTTTACTCCATAGACGCTAGTAGTCATCAGCTGCCACCCACCATATTACCTAGTTTCGCAGTAAATGTGACTTTTGGCAGTTATCGAGCTTTTGAATCGAAATTCCTCACTTTTTTGGTTCTGGATGAAGACATTATAGTATTTCATACTCCGAGTGAGAACGCATGGTAGAATATTTTCTGTATCTGAAGCCACTAAACGCTCCAGAAAAACGTCAAAATTCTTTCATCAGTAGCAAAGATTTTCGAAACTAAAAATAAACAAGTCGACAGTGGAGGATAGAATCAGTCTAGAAATACAGTCAAGTTTTGAAAATCCTTATATCACCATATAGTCAGAGTAATAATCATTGAGTTCCATTAAATACCCACAGGTCTTTAATGTTAGACAATGAAAGAACTATTGACCTTTCCTAATCATTATTTCGATAATTGAAGACCTGATATAGATTTCGTAAATGGGATTCACGACGGTTGAGAAAATTTCATTTATTCCTTAGTTGTTGATTAGTGACAACCAGGGAGTTATACAGTGATCCGTACATCAGTCACAATTATAAAAAATGTTTTACTACAAAACATTATCAAATTATATGGAGATGAAAATATATGACCATATACCAGTGTAAAACTAAAATTTTCCGAAATTTTCTCTTGAATTGAAGTCAAGTAGGCATTGAAGACTGATATTATTCCTATCAACAAGGGATTTACTTGACTTGTATTAGTTATGTGATCGTTCTAACAGATAGTAACTAGAAAAGCTTTAAACTCCCATAGTTACTGAATACTGAATTAAATCATCCTAAGTCCATTTAAAAACTGAGGATCTTTCAGAAGTTTCTCTGTTTTATCTCCTGGTGAATAAAAATATTTTGAACTGAACTTATCTCCATGATACATACGACTAAAAATAACGGTGTGCTAACTGGAGCCTAAATTCGACATGGATTATTGGTCTTCTGATGTAAATTTTTGACTAGTGAAGTTCAACTATGACAAGAATAATAACAATCGCTTTGTTTTATCAAATGATTGGAGCTGAAAATGTTAACTCTTATGTATCAACTTAGTGTTTTATTTTTATCTTGCTTACTGTGAGACTTGTAGGCCGTCAACGAGGCCTGAGAAAACAAAACAACAGTCCTGTATTTTCTGGTTTTCTGTGACTTTTTTCAGTTAATATCAGTTCGTGAAGAAATTATCTTTAAGTATAAAAAAACCCCATTCAATACGATTATGACATTTAAAAATGCATAAAAAGTTATCTATAAAGTTACCTTTAGTTAACAATGAAATTTCGATGGTTTCCAAGTGAAATATTACGATTTGAAGTACTTAGAGCTTAAAATCACAAGATAAATATAAACACAACCAGAACTATTCGCACAAAAGAAGTACGTCTTATCGTTATCGTTACCTTGACCTTAACTATTATTATTATTGTTATTATTATTATTATTACTGCATTCCCTTTTACTTATGTCTTACATTTTCATTAATTTATTCTTAAATACTCATCATATAACTTTATTTATTTTTGCACTATGTGACCTTTAATGACCTTGGACTGTTCTAACAAAACATTTTAATCATCTTATTATATTCACTTGATCTATTGTTATTATTCGTATTACGTAATCCAGTACCATAATCTTACTATTGCGTCATCTTGGTTATTCGTGTTCATATTTCCTCATGGAATTAGTACTTTAACAAAAGAAAGTGACACATATTTAAAAGTCTTAAATAAGTCATGTGTCTACAATTAACTACTACTTTCAACTAATATATTTTTCAATAGTTGAAATCAGGAGTCAATTGAAGCTAGACCACCATGGAAAACCTGAAAATACTGGAAGGCCATTTCGTCCTAGTATGGGACTCCTCACCAGTACGCACCCACGATCCTGGCCCCCGCGAGATTCGAACCTAGGACCTATCAGTCTCGCGCACGAGCGCTCAACCATTAGACCACTGAGCTGGCCGGTTCCCAACGGTGTTTATGTCTAACTTTAACAAATCCACGAAATTGCCCCACTGTACACCATTGTCTTCAGTGAGTTGATATCTCACAACAGACCTGGTTGAACTCTATTGGTAACGGCTTCTTACTTAAACTCCAGGAAATGCCTCTTGAAGTCAGTCACTAGTCAGCAGATGATTATTATCACATGGGGTTTTGTGGAGATTTTTTATCAAATAATGATCAGTGCTATATACCACTCCCTATATAAGAATATATAAATATCTGATCTTGTTTTTATGGACCAATCAAATTTTAATAATGAATTACACTAAAATCGATCATTTATCTTCTAACAACTAACAAATTAAAAATTGAGTTTTTATTTTTATTGTTTAATAAATTTATTTATTTATTAATTTATCGTTGTCAAAACAAATAAATAAAATTAACACATAAAATAAACCAAAAAAGAAAAAAACTATTCGATTAACCGATTTTTTTTCTCTTTCTCATATTTGAAAAAAAAATGATTCAGTTGCTACGCACAAATAATTCATCAAATGAACTATTTACTAATATTGATCTAAATCAGAATAATGATTTCTCATCGATTTTATTTATACGATCTAATGGTAATAAACATTATTTACCAGTGAAATATCCTAATACAATTTATAAATGGTATGAAAATATATTAATACATTTAGAAAAGAATAAATTTCTTCAATGGACATTAATTACTATATCGGATTATGAAGAATGTATAGGGTTGAAATTAATTCAATGGAATAATGAATTGATTACATTAATTAAGCAGATAGCACCAATTTTACAACAAATTGATTTATCCTATTTAAAATTGAATGGAATCCCATCAGATTTGTTATTACGTTTTTCTACACGTTTATTTTCATTAAATCTTAGTTATAATCAAATTGAAATGAATATTTTCCATGAAATTAAATCAGTCTATTTATGGTATAGAAAACAAAAACATAATGAGAATACAGTAAAACAAGATTTATGTTGGATTCAAACAATCAATGAATTATACTTAGATCATAATAAACTTGAAGAACAATTTCCTTATGAAATATCTAATTATATGATTGGATTACGGAGACTATATATTCAAAACAATGGGATAACAAGTTTAAAAGGTTTAAATGGTCTTACACAACTACAAGTGTTAAGAGCTGATTTTAATAAAATTGCCAGTTTACATGATGATTTCTTTTCATTGAAAAAAATTGAATATGTATATCTTTCACATAACTATATTACACAACCGATATCTGGTACACGTTTAAAGTACTTAAACCATCTAAAAGTGATTGATTTATCATACAATGGTTTGTCTTTTTTACCTACTGTCATATTCAGTCTACCATGTTTACAAACATTAAAAGTTGATCACAACAATATATCAAATTTGCCTGCATTAAGATCAAATTCTAGAATTTCTAAAGAACCAATACAACTGATTGATCTTTCACATAATCAAATTAATGCAATATCTGATGGTTTACTTAAAATAACGAAACAGTTAGATTTAAGTAAAAACAAATTACGAATGTTTCCTGCTAGTTTACTTAAAATGATTGCAAATATGGCTCAATTAAAAAAGATGAAACCATCAGAAATTATTAAACTTGATTTAAATGATAATCCAATTATATGGCCACCATATAATATTATTGAATGTGGCATCGATGCAATGATTCAATATTTTATAGAATCAAGAACTGAATTACAATCATATTATGGTATTAAAATAATGTTATTAGGTGATATAAATTGTGGTAAATCTAGTTTAGCTATGAGTATAGTAGATAAACAAATTCATATGACAGAAAGTATAGAAGAAACCACTTATAGTATCGAATCATATACTATACATTATGATGCCATTGAATTAACATCAAAATTATATACAAATTCAAAAGAAAATTATAATGATAATCACATAAATTCACAAACACAAACTAATCGACCAACAACAATCACAATATGGGATTGTTCTGGTTATCTAAATTATATACCATTAATATCATATTTTACATCATTATCAACCATTTATATTATTGTAGTGGATATAACAAAATTAAATCCTACAATCTTAATAGATGATAATATAAAATTAAAGAAATCAAATAATTATTTTTATCAATCTGTTGCTATATGGTTAGATCTTTTATTATATCGTTTAAATTATCTTAAATTAATCTTGATTGTTACTAAATGTGATCTTATACAATCCACAATAGAATTAAATAATAAAATGAATTATTTATATAAACAAACAATTAATTATATAAAATTTAAAAAATATTGGTTAAAAGAACAAATTACACAGATTGAATCATCATTACAAATATCAAAATCCATGTTACATTATTATGAACAATTAAATTATATTTATAATAATTTATATACATTTATTTATCCAATTATTCAATCATTTTCATTCAATGATATCAATGATAAAACAATTTTTAATTTTAATCAATTATGTTTTATATCATTTGATTTAGCGATTAAAACTCCAACTTATATACCATATTGTTTAACACCATTACCGCATATATGGTCAGATATTGAATTATATTTAAATGATATCAAACATGATTATAATAATAATAATAATAATGAAGTGAATACAACTATACTACTGAAATCTTATTTTTGTCATTTATTACAAAATAAATTTAATTTAAATGTATTAAATTTAAAACAATTACTTGTTTATTTAAATAATACAGGTAAAATTATAATATTAGACTCATATTCAATTAACAATAATCATAATAATAATAGTAATAGCAATGAAGGGCAATCTTATAATGATCAAATGAAATCCCTAATTAGACCATATCCAAAATTCTATGTATTAATTAATCCTGATTTATTTATTGAATCATTTAAATATTTATTAAATCCTTATTTATATTGTATAATGGATTATATAAAACATAAAAATTCCAATGAAAATATTTATTTACCTAAAACATTTATCAAAGATTTGCTAAAACATTTTTATACGATTACAAAACATGATGCAATGAATCAATTAATCTATAGTTGTAATGAATTAAAACGTGGTACAGGTATTATAAGCGCCTATTTATGGATTGCATTAGTTGAATATAGTAATCTTTATATTATTAAAAATAATATTGAAACCGGTAAATCCTATGTTGAAATTATATGGAGATGGTTAGAACTTGCTTATCCAGTACCTGAACCAAATTTATTTATAAATTTTGATTTTAATTTAGACAATAATGTATCATTAAATGGATTGAATTCATCAACTTGGAAATTTAAATATGTAAGTAAATATTTATTATTATAATTTATTTATGTATTATTATTATTATTCTAACACAAATAGAATTATCAGAAGGGAGATTTTAGAAATTTCAGTAGTTAAAATCATGAGTCAATTAAAACTAGACAATCATGGAAAACCTGGAAGCACTGGATGCCGGTTCAGTGGTCTAATGGTTAAGCGCCCGTGCGCGAGACTCATAGGTTCCGGGTTCGAATCTAGTGAGGGGCGAGATCGTGGAGAGGAGTTCCATACTAGAACGAAATGGCCGTCCGTGCATCCAGGTACTCCAAGATGGTCTAACTTCAAGTGACTCCTGATTTCAACAAATAGAATTATTTGTTATAACAACTTATTCCCCTATTTTTAGTATCTATGTCAATAGTTTCAAATTCTTAGATAATGAATGTGAAATATTCAATATATATGTATATTTTTAAAACTCTTCTAATAACAAAAATTTTTAAAAAGTTTATAATTAACATTCGTATCACTTTTTATTTGGTACCGACATAAATATATAACAATAATGATAACTATTTTCATTATTTATTTACTTACTAGTCTTATCACATATTCAATATGCAAATTTAAATGAATCCATTTTCCTTCCTTTTTTTAAAAATTGTAAAATACACTGATTTACAATAAATACTAATGAGTAGTATCAAAAACCGACAAAAATGTTGTAGAATAACCAGTAGGAATGTGAAACTTGTAAATAAAGTACAAAATGACAGAAAATTTCTGATGTTTAAAATTAGAAGTTTCAAAAAGAGAACAAAACAATTTCACCTGTCTATTTCATGCGTTTATGAGTGTATTATTTGCTGCATAGAACTTAACTCATTTGTTTACAAACAGATATATTGGTATCTAGTTTAAATTCCTGTGTTTGAAAAACATTCACTTTATCAATGTCAATAAGATTGGTAATGATTGATTAATTTAGATGCTATTTTTGCTTGACCTTAACGAAGGTAATTAAGATGGAAGTCATACTTCTTTAGATATGATGCTTTAAGCTAATATGATATGTGTATGTAATTAAGACTGGATAAAAGTTTAACTATAAATACAGCTAAAATGTACTCAATTTACCGGTATGTAAATGGTATCTTAGAATAATTCCAGTTATTAAAAAATCAACAGGGTTGTAACCAAAGTATAAATTAGGTAAGAAATTACCGAGGGGTGGATGTAGCAACTAAATGTACAGAAAAAGATGTAGAAAAAATGAAAGAATGCTGGAATAATAGTGAGTGATATCCGAAGTTAACAAGTAAAGGCATACAGACTTTCGAAAATGGGCGAAAAATTGTGTTTTTCGGTCTGAACATCAGAGTTGAAGCCAAAGTATTAATTAGGTAAGAAATTACTGGGAAGTGGATGCAGCGATTCAGCGGTATGTAAATTGATATCGGACTATGACTTTATAAACACTCCTAATACTAATGAAAATCCATTACATTCTGTCAACAACAAAAAAACACTAAAACCATACAATCATTTATAAAGTGAATACTTGTCATTTATATACCTCTCTACAGTTTGTGTCTAGCCGCGTCAAATATTGCCTAAATTCCTTTTGCTTATTAGGTGATTTTGTCCTTTTTTGAGGATGGGGGGAGACAGCTACTAAGAAATCAGTTCAGTTTGTTGATAAAAATATAGCCAACAAAATTGTGCCAACTTTCTACCTAAATGTAAAACAAATATAGCTGCGAATTAAATGTCACGACAGATTTTACTGTAAAATGCCTAGGTTTGATTGAGTGAATTCAATTGAAATACATCCATAAATTTTCTTTAGCCACAATATAATTATCCAACTAAATGAAACATTACGTGATACTACGCCAACACAGAAAAAATTATCCACTACACACACCAACCAATAATTTAGGAGTTAACCGTTTACTATTCAAACAAGTTTCTGTATACATACCACCATCGGGAAATTCCATTATGGTTGGTCAAGAGTTTACAGAAGATATATTTTGAAAAATTATCTTGTTTGATGCATCGTTCCCATGGTATAGTTTTAAGAATTCAACTACTACGGAAAGCCAACTAAGTTAATTCAAACGAAAGCGAGTGAACAAAAACTGGTTATCTAACTTTATGAAAAATAATGAATGATTTACCCACGTTATTTGGTATGATGATTGGTGTCATTGGAATAATGAGGATACTTTCACATGGAACACTAAGAGAAATAAGTAGTAGTTTCTGGATCAAACGAAAGCTTTCAAATAGAGCTATGTAACAATACAATATCCCAAATGTCTAATAATTACATTGTGAAAATTCAAAGAATAATTTCCTGTTAGTTAACGCTGGAAGTTCAACCTAGTTCAGATCGTTAGTGGTAATGACAGGTAAAGTATTGACGATTTTCGCAGACAATAACAAGTTCATTGTCTGTGTGTAGATTTGTTGAATTTCATTGAAATCACGAACCGATCAATGTAAGACAACAATTGAAAATCTGGAAGCACTAAAAAAACCTTTCGTTCTAGCATGGGATTCCTCGATAGTGCTCATCCACGATCTCCCACAACAGTCTCGTGCGAACGCTTAACCTGCAGGCCACTGAATTGGCATCAAACAGCAGATTACTTAGCTTAATAAGTTTCAAAAATAATCTCAACAATATGTACATATCTTCTTGAAATATCAAAGGTCCTGAAATGAAGAAACTAGTTTTTCTCAAGTGTCAACTGTTAAATCATAATTTTAATTTTTCACTAAAGTACAACAAGTATGTCAATGTACTTCTTGAATGCATGAAGCCTATCCTAATCGGCTAGACAATGTTAATCTACGTATATTTTCACTTCGTTTTCATTTTATATTTTTACGCAGTTTCCATCTCCCAGAGAAATAGCTTTATCATGTGGAATTATATCTAACACAGAGAGTCGATCTCAATCACCGGATAGCCAACCAGATACAGAGAATAGTGCGAATTCTGATACGCGTCAGTCTCCAACTAATAACCAGATTCAATCATTACTGTGTCCAGAACGATTACCTGCTTTGTGCTTTCCCTGCCTCATCCCTTCATCCTTTTGCAGCTCAACAGATGAAATGAGTAATGATCTTTGGAAAACAGCTTGTCAAACCGGACCAAGACCAATCATATTTGTGTATAGATTTTCTTATGGTCTACCTCAAGAACTATTTGATAAGGCTACAGTACGGTTGAATTGGCCCGAACTATTCAAAGTAAGCTCTCTTGTCTTTTTCTTAACATTATTTAGCCTTTCTTTTGATGTGATAAGATAGGGAAAGGAAATCACAGTCTTCCCTGTAAACTGCAACTTAATCGGTATTCTAATCTCGAAATCTTGTTATAGCTTAATCGATATATTGGTACTAAAGGGTTAGTTGTCATATTTTATTTGCTTTATACTTAAATGTTTGTCCTTCACTATAGTTAATTAGCGTTTTCTCTAACTCATTAGACTATTTTATTAACAAGTACTTTGTACACTTCTTAATTAATAGCTGTGATGCACACTTATTTAATAAACTGTCATGATAAAATATTTTCCAAGACTAGGCAATAAAACGTCACTGATTAGTTTTCCGTTGGCTGAAATTAAATTATTCAGAAAGATCTGATATATTATCGCGTCCAGTAAGAGGATTTTGTAGATATTATAATTTCTCTCATTGCGACCCAGCTACTCTTATTGCCTAGTATTCTTGGACACTACTTCACTCGACAAGTCCCCAAATCAGAACACGGTTTAGCTGAACGAAATTATATTCCAAATAACAAGGGTAAGTGGAAGTAGGAATCGCGATGTGAAAAGAACGTTAGTATATTTACAGTCTTCGCATGAGAAGAGTCTACATTCTTCTCCACTAGCGCTAAATGAAATAGCCAATCAGCCTGCCCAAACACAATCTTGCATAGAACATGCTTCAATCAAATTTATAATCCGCTAATAGTAGACACGATCAATTTGTAGTTTTTATCAGCTGGGTATTTGCTGAATACCAGGAAGCACCTAACTATAAGTCTCATACTATGTAGCGAATAGTCATTTGTGTGCACTAGTGATGTCAGACAGATCCAACTCCACTATTCTATTGTATCGCTTACTCATTGTTCAATTCCCTTAACATTGGTCCCAGCGATAATACACGAACTACTTAGTTGTGGCCTTGTGAATTCAATGGTTTGTAAGATTATTAGCCCAATCACACGGGGTTCTGTCATTTCAACGGTCAAGATAAGCGATACTCGTAACTGGACAGATAGTGAATTTGTTGATTGTGTCAGGGATGACATATAACCTGTATAAGTTGTCTTTTTAGTGGCACCTCTATAATAACAAAGTTTTCACAGCAATAATCAATGCTAAACTTTGATTTCTATTCCTTTCTTTAAAGTTTCGATATACAGCACATTGGAAGACAGGAGTGCAAATGTTTAACAGTTTAAATCGGATAATACTCAGATTTCTACTCGTAAAATCAGCTAATGAAGACAGTTTAATCAAGTTTGAATTTCGTGCTCTACCAGTAGCAACCACAAATTCAGATGACATTGAAATTAGAACTCAAAATGATGATACAGCAGCTAATATAGATGAGGAAAACAGTGAAAAGAACACTTTAGATGAAACTACAACGTTTGATGCCAGTAAATCATTGAAAGATAATAATGATAAGCATCAGAAACATAAACAGAAGCCTAAGTGGCATAAATGGCCTGTTTCAGAGGAAAATCTTTGGAATCTTATGTTGCCCATATTGAAGGAATTCGATTCCATATTATTAGCTTATAAAGGTGAGTATTATATTTTGATCAGCGTAAAGATATTTATCGTTTTAAGCAAAGTCAATTTTCAATTTAGCTAAATAATTAGGTAGATTATTTACCGACAAAAATCAATAAACTTAGTTTTTAATGAAAAGGTCATCAACAATTAAATATATACAGACAGCTACACCATAGATTATGCGTTCAAGTTAATTATTGTGTCTTTTACAATACTATTGTACTGAACGAGAACACTAGTGATAACAATCGAATCTATTTGAACACAAAATTACTGAACATCTTAGTAAAATCTGAGAACCGTACAATAAATACTTCATTTGCAAAATGTCAATCAATTGTCTCAAACTTGACTGTTCTTTTGATTCCACACCAATCAATTTTTGTTCTCGTTCTCTTTTATTTGATCTTCTAAACCTTCTGCTGCCAGGTATTTCACTTTTGATTGATGACACATACCACTTATATCTGTCAACAGTAGTAGCACATATCGCACCATTTCTTCATCTTTTTTTCTCTATAATCTTCCAGAGCAAATCAAATCACAGGGATTTGTAGATCTATCGAACGATATATGCCTACTTTTGTGTAATATTCCTAGTGCTAGCTACGTCAGTCACTTATCTAAGCACAGTTACAAGCAAGTATCAGGTTTCTAATAATTATGTTTCCTTTCAGTAAAAATTAATGCCAGATATATCAGGAAGACCCTATGCTAGGAGTTTCTCATCTTATTATTTTTTATTAATGACATAGAAAAACGGCGATGTTTTGTTAGTCTTTATCGAAAATAATTTACCTGATAACCATATCGTGAGGTTTTGTGGACAAGAGAAAAAAAACATTTTAATAACGAAATAACTTATAGACCCATTGAAACTATTTAACACTTTCACTAATCCCCATTGAAAGTAAACAGTATTCTTTGAAAAACTAGTCATGAAGATTTCTATTGAATAGTCTTGTATTAATGTTTACACTTGCGTGTGCAAAAATGAAAATTAATTGAATTCATTGACCCATGGTAATTTAGAAAAAAAGTTTTTCAAAATGGTTATGCTATCAACTATGAAGATTATTTGTAGACATTTTTACCGCCAAAAATGTTAAGTTACAAAATATTTACTGCATAAATTAGTTGTTTAAAAAATATTTTAAAAAAATAATTACTATACAATGCTTGTTAATTAACAGGCATAATCAGGTTGATACAGAAAGTAATGTCACATATAAAGTATCAAGATATAAGGTTGAACTGTTTGAAAAGATGTTGCTCATTGATTGTTTTGAGAGAAAATATGTCACAAGAATTATTATAATATGAGGTTGAGATTGGAAACCAGTTACCCTTGGTAGAGGAAGTGTGACATAGTGTCGAGGTAAGATTAATGTATCGAGAGGGTAATTCCAGTGATAATATTGAGTTATTATAATGATCGGTAATTAGAGAAGATGAAAATAACAAAAACTACCTTGGCAGATCAGCCATTACACACGCATTAAGTTGTTTTATTTCTTCCTAATTTATATAGATATTATTTAAATTGATTAAATCGATCAAGAATAGTGTAAGTACAAAATATCTGCAAGAAATGAAGTATGATAAATATGCTCAGTGATAAAAATGGTCAAGCATTTATTATTATTATTATTTAGTAGTTGAATCCATGAGTCGATTTAAGATAGACCACCATTAAAAACCTGGAAGCACTGGACGGCCGTTTCGTCGTAGTATAAGACTCCTCAGAAGTGCGCATCCACGATCCTGCACTCGGGACTCGAAACTTGCACCATCGTTCTCGCGAGCGAACTCTTAACGACCAGAGCAGTGAGCCGGTATTCAATGGTGTTAATGTCTAACTTCAACCAATCCACAAATTGCGCCACTATCTACCATTGTCTTCAGTGAATGGATACGCACTGGTGAAGATTCCCATACTGAGACAAAACGAGCGTCCGGTGCTTCCAGGTTTTCCATAGTGGCCTAACTTTAATCAACTCATGGATTCAACTGTTAAACCACTACAATCTCCACAAATATCCTTTCTAACAATATCCCTGTAATCTCACTAGTGGGATAGAACAGGTGTATTTTTTAAGCAGTTTTGAAGGAAAAGTAACAATCAGTGTTACGAGTAGGTGATGGTAAAGATTTTATTTCATGAATAGATTGCGGTGAGCTATTTCAGAGTCTTGAGAATTTACTTGTAAAGTAATTCATATTGAGATAGTGCTTGAAATAAAACAGTTCCACTTTCGATGGAGAGTTACAAATGCTGTAACTAGGTATTTCTGCAGGTTGGATTGTATCAGTGGTCTAAAAGATAGTTCATTTAGTATTTCGAAGAAAAGATTTGATTTAGTTCCAGTCTTTCCTTCCATAAGGGGCTGAACTCAAACTCAGTGCATCTGGATTCGTAGTCTCAGATACAATCAATCTCAAGAATTTAAATTGCAAATCGTCGCTGGAAAGTTTCCAACTTAAGTTTATCATTTATGTGAACAAAACTCAGAAGAAAACGGCAGTATTCTGGGATTGGTCGGGCACATGCATTTACGCAAAAATAAGTGGGTCGATGTTACAGAGGTTACGCAGAATACATTCCAAAAGTCATTGAGACAAAGAATTCTGTGGTGACACCTATTCTGAGAAAGATATATTCTGGAAA